AAATAGAAAGACTGTGGCAAAAGCAAGCAAGGGTAGTACCAATAGTAATAGGCACCTTGGGTGCAATCCCAAAACAACTGGAGCACCACTTGAACACCATTGGCATTGACAAATTCGCCATTAGTCAATTGCAAAAGGCGGCCTTACTAGGAACTGCTTCCATCCTGCGACGATATCTGTAATACCATCAAACATCCACGTCTGCCTATCCCAGGTCCTTGGTAAGGACTCAATAGGTAGGCAAAATGCCAAATCCAGTCTGAACATCGGGCTCACTGTGCGATGATGATGATGATGATGATGATGATGATGATGATGATAATAATAATAATAATAATAATAATAATAATAATAATAATAATAATAATAATAAAGTTGGAAGGGACCTTGGAGGTCATCTAGTCCAACCCCCTGCTCAGGCAGGAAACCCTATACCATTTCGGACAAAGATGTTGAGATCTTGGAAAAAGTTCAGAGAAGAGCAACTAAGATGATCAAAGGCCTGGAGACTAAAACATATGAAGAACAGCTGTAGGACTTGGGTTTGCTAGTCTAAAGAAAAGAAGAAATAGGGCTGACATGATAGCAGTATTCCAATAGCTGAGAGGCTGCCACAAAGAAGAGGGGGTCAAATTATTCTCTAAAGCACCAGAAGGCAGGACAAGAAACAATGGTTGGAAACTGATCAAAGAGAGAAGCAACCTGGAATTAAGGAGAAAGTTCCTAACAGTGAGGACAATTAACCAGTGGAAGAGCTTGCCTTCAGAAATCGTGGGCACTCCATCACTGGAGTTTTAAAGAAGAAACTAGACCAGTGGTGGCGAACCTATGGCACGCGTGCCAGAGGCGGCACGCGGAGCCCTCTCTGTAGGCACATGCCATCGCCCCAGCACACGTGGTCTCTAAAAGTTCGCCATCACTGGCCTAAGGCCAGCCAACCTGGAGCCGCCATTGGGGAGCCCACCATCCCACCCGCCAGAGACCCCCTGCATCTCCCCCAACCCTGCCCGGCTCCCACAGGTGTCCCTCCCCATAAGCAACATCAAGGTGGCCACGCCCACCCCGGCCATGCCCACCCAATCTGCCATGACTACTGCAGCCACACCCATCCAGTGGCCACGCCCACCCAGTCTGCCCAGCCCACTAGCTGCACCTGCCGAGTGGGCCATATCCACCCGGCACCCGGCGATATATAAGTGGGTTTTAGGTTGCAGTTTGGGCACTCGGTCTCTAAAAGGTTTGCCATCACTGAACTAGACAGTAACTTGTCTGAGACGGCATAGGTTCTCCTGCTTGAGCGGGGGGCTGGACTAGAAGACCTCCAAGGTCCTTTTCAGCTCTATTCTATTCTAGCTGATAATGCAAGTTGGGAAGTACTTCCTGAAAATAATTCATTTTCCAATTTTTGCATCATTAAAAAAATTCAAGAGTGTTAAGAAAAATCAATTGATTTTTTTTTGCTCTAAATTAAACATTTCTTGAGGGCCAGAAACACCAATGGAGCTTGTATTGTTATATGATTTATTACTCCAGTCTGACCTCCTTTTAATTATCTTTTCAACTAGTAGGATAGCAGATAATCATGCTGAGGTGCAAGTAATAAGATCATTATTTCTGATGCATAGAAGCAGCAGCACAATTATCTATCCTTGGAGAAGATATGATGCATTGGAAACAGTGATTCATGTAGCCAGCAAAGCTGGCTGAGGAATTCTGGGAGTTGAAGTCCACAAGTCTTAAAGTTGCCAAGGTTGAGGGCCCCTGATGTAGGTGAACTTGCCATGAATATTAACAATGACAGTGTGCCTTCAGTTTATGAAGCAATGATCAGAAAATCCTGCTCATGGAAGCAGTATATATACGGTTAAAATATAATTTATCAATTCTACAATCTGCCTGAATTATAGTTCTATAATTTGTCTGTATATAGTTAAAGTGAAAGAAATGTAGTCAATAATTCATACATCATATGAAGCCACAATTCTATTAACTATGGTTTAAATAATAACTGGGTGGATTTGCATCATATCCTACCCAATATAAAGCACCACAGGTCACAAACAACGGATATTCTAATCTAAAATCAAACTACATTATGGAAGGGCACAATTATGAATCTAGTCCCTTCATATTCATGGCAATGATATCTGTCAGGAGGCTCAAAATCTGTTGAGATGGTGGGATCATGAATGAAATGCTACATGTGCATGCAGTGACTCATGTCTATGTACAAAGGGTCTTTGATCCAATTCTGCACCAACAATCTTAAAGATGTTGACCCTTCCCAATGCCCATGTTTCTTATATAAAATAAGACCCTCTTGTTCTTATTTTTGCTTCAACTCTGTAAGAATGTTAGTCTTGCCTAGAAAAATAAGCCTTATGTTCTTAATTCATATCCAATTTATTGAAGTTGGACTGATATAGTTACTGCAGTCAGATGTCTAGATGACACTTGTTAAATATATTGTACTTAACATACTTTTCATTTGAGTGTTTTTTTTAAAATAATAGACAGTCTATTTATTCTGGCAAGTCCAGATATAATAGTACAAAAGAAAATGTATTTCAGTGGTATTGAGGGATCTTAAAATAGTTTAGAAAGAAAGCAATATCAAATATGGAAATTCTTTGCAAATTGGAAGATAATATCTTGCAATGAGTGTGTATCCACAGTGAAATAATTTTTTAATTTGTCAAATATTCTGTGAAGTCAGACTATCAAATAATTACATTAGGTTATACAATATAGCAGACTGTACTGGGAGACATGTATGCATGTACAGTACATGCATGCACAGATGCACAGACTTTTAAAAAACATTTTATAATCACAGATATTATGTATTATTTACTCTATCTTTCCCTTTCTTTTTCGAAGGAACAAAAGATGACCTGCATGAATTTCCCAAGAGTCACTATTCAGATTAAATTCTACTTAATGTTAACGTATTTGCTATACTAACTTAGAGTAAATTGAATTCAGAGCTACAAAGAACACATGACTATGTTCTACTATTACTTTACTTCTCTTTCAACAGACTTATTACACCCTATTACAATAAACAGAAATACACAGCTGCAGTTCTTAACTGTTACACCCCATGTCTCCCCATAAAAGGGACAACATGATTTTCAAATAGTAAAACTGCATTTACCCAGAAGCTTTGAAGATCATTCAGAAGGCAAGGGTACACATTTTTGGTATAATTTAAATGGGGAAAGCTAGAGTCATCATAGCAGGGAAATGATGCGGACTAGGCAAGTTGTACCACATTTGCCTGGGTTGAAAGTTGCCAAGGGGTGGTCTGGGAGTTTGGGATTTTATTTTTTTTCTATGCTTTTTAAAACTGTTAAGCCTATTTCACAGCTCACAAAACACAGGCACAATTTGCTTTGTGCTTAAAACAAAATGAAGCTGCAATACTGATATTTGGAAGCTAGATTGCCAAACTGCCATGGGCACCACAGAAAGAGGCTTTGGAGACACAAGGTATCCATCCATGATATAAAATAAAAGAACTTCTCCATCAGAGAGATGTATGCAATGCAGATTTAAAGACTAATACACTGAAGTTACAATGCTAAAGCTATCTACTTTTTTTAAAAAAGGGAGACTGCTTCTTCCTTTGTCATAGCTCCTGAAACAAATGCAAGCTACCAAAATTAACTTGATAACTTCAGGCTAGGAAAATGGCAAATTGTAATTTATGGTATTTATAGAAATAAAAACTTACCAGCACTAACAGTGATAGCCTCAATGAACTGTTCTCTCCAGCTGTTAGTTCCAACCACAAGAGCTAGATTTGTCTTCTTAATAAGCTTGTCCACAGTGTTCTGCAGATGGACAGACAAAACATGGATTATGTGGTAAATGTAAAGGATGCTGGTTAGCATTAGAGCATGGATATCAACATCAAGTGGATGAAATTAAACAAATATGCAAAAGTATCTTGCTTTAAAAAGACTTGAAATATTTGTGCAAAGTATTTCTTAATGGTGCCTTGTAATCAGACCTACAAAAAGATGATTTGCACATTTTCATAAAGTATTAGTCCATCTATATTTGATGCAGTGAAAAGGAAGTCTTATTTTCTTTGGACATCTTCTTAATAGTTGTTATTACAATAGTAAACTTTTGGCAAATTGGTAAGACCTGTTGCCGTCAAGGCGGAATGATCTATTCATTTTCTGCCAATCTGCTTCATTTGTAGGGCTGGTTCTTAGGAAAGACTGATTTGTTATGGCTAATATGCAAAGAAAAAGATAGCCAAGAAAGGGTGAATGATCCATTCCTCCCACATAATTTGCCTGCATTACATTCCATGAATCCGCCATCATGAAGTCCCTGGATGTTTATGATAACTGGACAAATGATTAAATACAAATTAATGCTACTATAGATATTGCTCAATTTATGACAATTGGGACCAGAATTTCCACTGCTAAACAAGGCAGTTAAGTGAGTTATGCCCAATTTTATGACCTTTTTGCTGCAGTTGTTAAGCAAATCACTGCAATGGTTAAGTGACTCATGAACTTAATACTATTCACTTCATTAAGTGAGCCCAGGTTCTTCCATTGACTTTGCTTGTCAGAAACTGGCTGGGAAGGTCACAAATGGCAATCAAGTATCTCTAGGACAGGGGTGTCAAACTGCCGGCCCGCGGGCCGCTTTCATCATACCGGAGCCGCGCCCACCCCATTGCCGGCAATGGCGAAAAAGCTCCAATATGTCGCGCGACGTCACGAGTTTGACATGCCTGCTCTAGGATGCTGCAACAATTACCAAATGCCTGGATTTTGATCACATAACCATAGGGATCCCCTTATATAACACCTTATCTAGTTTATTTTATAGGCTTCTTTTGCACTGAAACCTCTGAACCACATTCAGACCAATCTACTATGCATAGCGAGGAAAAGTAATTTTACAGGGGGCCAGAGCATTGGCTCACCTATTTCTTCCCTGAATTGGTAAGGCCTGTGATTAAACTGGGGATAAAAAAAAGACAACTTAAAAAATAGTCATCAAGGTGCCATGTAGAAACTCCTGACACATTGATGTATCTCTGAAAATAAATTAATACTTCAGAAAACTGCACTTAACTGACATATTTGCTTTACTACAGCTAAACTGGACATTTACAACTTTTACCGATCTCCTATACATTTAATAACCTTGAGATATGCTTATAGAGCAGACTTATAAAAACTTTGCTTTCAAGCTAATGTACCTCATAATATTATAAAATTGAATATGAAATATATAATCATGCATACTTCATTTTCTTTACAAATGATTGATTTGAGCTACACCATGATTTAAGTTCAGTGAGGTTGCCTGCAACCATTCAAAATTACTCTCTAAGGGAATTGATAAGAGAATATTTTGGCTAAGCTGCATAAAACAAATAATAAAAGAACTAAAAAGGATTGCTTATGTCGGTGATTCCTGTATAATTCCTGTATAATGAAATTAATACAGAATGGTATAAAATTTTAATATATAATTTAAAATTATCTTCAGGGGATGCAAATAAAAGAAAATCAAATTTAATTTTAAATTTCCAATAATTATTAATCATGTAAATAATATGGTGCTTCTGTTTTAAATAGTCAATATGGCATTGTGCTTAATGAGCTAGATTAGATGTGCATTCATATTCTTCTTTAGCTGAAAAGTTGTTTCAGTAAGAAGTTAGGTATTATCTCAAACTTAACCACTTGATCCATAGGATAAAAAGAAGGGATAAAGCACCTATGCTATTAAAAAAATTGTTCATGATTTTTTTACATTTAAAGTTTGTGTGTAATGTTCTTATTTGAAGATGTAGGAGGTGACCAAATACACCATCAGTTTGGAGTCTATACACTACCAAAAGAGACCCCCCCTCACACTTGAAGTCCATTTGCCTTGACAGTTAGTAGATCAGATTCTTGTGCTGAGATTGCATGGAATAAACTTATAGTACTTTTGAACTGTATCCTCTCTCCTGTTTTCTTGCACCTGACTGAAATCATTTGTACAATCTGAGAACTGTGTGTAATTTTCTTATTCGAACTCATTTTTACATAATATCATTGAAATACGTAAATAGACTTATTAATATTTTTGGAAATCCCACTAGGAAAAGGCAGAAAGGAAAGAGAGAGAAGGAAGGAAGGAAGGAAGGAAGGGAGGGAGGGAGGGAGGGAGGGAGGGAGGGAGAGAGAGAGAGAGAGAGAGAGAGAGAGAGAGAGAGAGAGAGAAAGAGAAAGAGAAAGAGAAAGAAAGAAAGAAAGAAAGAAAGAAAGAAAGAAAGAAAGAAAGAAAAGAACATGGCTGTGGCTGCAGTTTATCTTCCTATGAATATATTTGATAGCTTAAAAATCTAGTTCTTAAAGGTGAGCTGGCAAAGTTTAGTGAAATAAAATTTCCTACAGAATACATTGTTGCCCTTCTTTAAAATAGATGCTGCAACATAATAAATAATACATAATAAATAAAAACATCAGAAAATTAGCCAAATTATTTCAACTCTATAATTTTTATGAATTGCACAATTTGCCTTTTCTCAGAACAAAATTCTAATTGCACAGGCCTATTTTGGGTGTGTGTGTGTGTGGGGGGGAATTCCCTATAAAAATATAATCCTAGGTTACCACAGGACAGATATGGAATAGAGCTGTAATAACTTAATAGCTGTTTGTTGTCAGATGGTGCCTGAATTAAATACATTAAATTAATGGTAATAATGACTTTAGATGTCTCCATACTATACCTTGAACTCGTAGGACTCTTCAATAATCACTTCTAGCTTTGTGTGCTCCCCCAGAATGGGGCGCCCCATTTCAGCAATGCGGCGTTCTTCCTCTTCTTTGCTTGTCAGAGGCTGCTTCTCTTCGTTCTCCTCTGGGGATGGAGAAGACAAAAAGAACCAGTTGAGGGATGATGAATCTATTCCCTTTTCTGCAGCCAGCTCCTGTTTATCCTCCAACATACTGGCAAAAGCAGGCAAACCACTGTTACAGGAATATTCCACCAGGACAGCCTCCTGCATGGTAAGGATTGAAGTTTGCTCTTCCAGATAGTTTACCTGGAAGTATCAGGAAATTATATCATGTTCACACCTCTTCTGCATGTCAAAGAAGTGCTTCCTTTCCTCCCTTGTGCTTTTTAAGGGAATCACAATTTAGCAGGTGGCTCTTTGAGTTGCTCTTTGCAACTGGGAAACAGAAAGGAAAGATCAATCTAGGGATTCACAGGTCAATGTGACACACTACCTAATGTGGTTGCTTTTAAACAGATCTACTCTTAATTAAGGGTGTGTCTAAATATGAAATATATGATTGTAACAGATGCTGATGTTTGCCTGCTGTGTGAGTATTTGTCTGATAATGAAATGAACTATGTCTTCCAATTGAGCATAGACTCAGTAGTAACCCCAGTGTGTATATTGTTGTCAATCGCACATCCCTAAAAAGTCCTTTTTTAAAAAATATACAAAATAAGAAACAAAAGGTAAGAAGGGCAGAAAAAGAAAATGATGTTTACAACGAAAACACAATTTTTCTGGGCACCATAGAATAGTTAGGAATTTTTATACAGCAAGTAGCAACTTTGAAATTGCAAAGTGATGAGCAAGTATTTTAGATTGACTGATTGGTGTTCAAGCAAAAGCAGACAACATATCCACAAGAGAAATATAAAGAAATATCTTTGGTCAATATTAGCTCATGTGTTTCCAGGTTCACAGAGCCATTTTGTCCTGTTAGGATTGTCTGACAATTGCCATTTAGCTGCAACTCCTAATAACAACTTAGTGTTTATAACCATGATAAGACAGAAAGGGGTTAGAGTTTTGGGCACCTCTTTATTGCCCTCTACCCAAATATGGCAAGGAACCCTGTCCTCTCCCCAAAGAACATGTGTTTAGATTTGTACATATAAATGACAATCTATAGTACTCCTTTCCTTGATTGTGTGAAAACAGACTCAGAGAAAATTAGGCTCAACAGAACATCATCACATTTGAGTTTAATATTCCTGGTGAAGCGAGATACAACATATATTGTGTTCATGTTAATCTCAATCTTTCTCAAACTATTATTGTAGGTGTCTCTGCATCCTAATGAGAAGGTTGCTGTGACATCTTTCTTTTCCCCCCATGGTTTTTCTCTCTTGGAATATAATCCATACCTCTTTTTTATTATTATTTTTATTGTGGCCTCTGATATCATAACATATATTGGCTGGAACAAAAGGCCTGGAAAGGTCTCCATCATTTATTCTTATTTTCATTGATTATTAATTTTTTATGCTGTCTTGCTGTTACAGTGACAATGGGCGATTTAAAATATAAAAAAATCTATCAATAAATATCAATCAATAAAATCAATATTGATTTAAAAAAATAAAACTTATTTAAGTTTTATACTACAGTTTCTGCATATTTCTCACTTTATAATGGAAGCAATTTTTTATTAATAATTTTTGGTGACTGTTCTGACAAAAATCAATGGTATATTAAGGTTCTAGAGGGTTGCAAATAAGGACTTTGGGGTTGCTAGTAGCTCTGGGGTTACAGGTTTCCATCCTTCATTTAAAGAGACACACAGATACCTGAATTCTTCTCTGCCTCAATTATAGGTGGGGTTGTGTCT